GGTTAAGAAACACCATTCTCTTACTCATGTATGAAACACCTACCTCCTCGTCGTCATCATCATAATCCCTCTCAGGAAGCATCCTCATTGGTGGTGCAATTTCATAAGGATTGCTTATCTGAAATCCTCGGTTCACTTGACCAGCATTGTTAGTCTGGACTGTAGGAAAAATTCTGTCTTTTGCAGCAGGGCTGGAGGCAGACGTAGGGACTGTGGGGAAAATTCGGTCTTTTGTAGCAGGCTTGGAGACAGACGTAGGGACTGTGGGGAAAATTCGGTCTTTTGCAGCAGGGTTGGAGACAGACGTAGGGATTGTGGGGAAAATTCGGTCTTTTGCAGCAGGGTTGGAGACAGACATAGGGCCAAGTTTTCCCTTTCCACCTGAATAGTCTTCTTTTATCAAATGCCTCTTCTCTGGATTTTTTAGCTTTTTTGACCTTTAATGAAAAAGAAGAAGCTTTGAGAAGACTTAAGTTTATAGGTGTATCTTGGTCCATCTAACCACCCACTTCCTTATTTTTCACACTTTCTTGTTCCTCTTTTGAAACATGCCATGAGAGTTATTATTGGGCATATGATATGTGCTCTGACACCACTTGTTACGAAGGACAGATAACACAGTTTGCAAGGCAAGCTCCAAAACTTCTTCTTGCAAATATGGTTTAAGGTACCAGGAGGGTAAAGATCAGAGAAACACTTTTCTATTTTTTCCTGGGAAGAGGGAATTCTCTCTGACACAACGTGATCTGCACTTCCTGGGAATGCAACCAGAGACTGGTATGTTCATTTATACCCCTTACCAAAGCAGCTTTCATACATGCAATCAAGTTGCTGTATGTGCAATCTATGCATGTAGAATTGCTGATTGCTTGCGTAATACTCACCCAATCGCTTCAACTCAAGTTGGTGAAATCCACCCACTCCTGGAGGGAAGGCAAGGTTCTCCCCCAGCAATTCCCCCATTATACCCCTCCGGGAGCGGGGAGAGGGAAAGGGTAGAGTGACTGTGCTTGAGTGGCTTCCATACCTCCTGCCACCCATGCCAGGGTGAGGGATATCTAGCTCCAGGCCAAGCCCAGCCCACCTCCTCTCATTCCTACAGCCCCAAGCACCTAGGCCTTGCCCCCACCTTGTGCTGCTTTGAGTTCAGGCCCTAGCATCTGCTGCTGGACACCCTGGGTTGGTCCCCTATTGACTATTTGGTGGGTTGGCTTTGGGGCAGGCAGGACCTGCAGCAGCCCT